CTGTTCGCTTGTGTTTGGTTTTCATTAAAATCTATTTGCATCATGTAGATTTTTGTGTTCTTTTATCCTGGCATAACAATATGTAATTTTAAACAAAAATAGAGTCATTTTCCTTTATCTACTAATAAATAGCCAAAGAAGGAGTAAAAAATGACCGAATGAGCACGGGAATGTTATTACTAAGTGACTGAGGTCGGTGTGCCATCTAGAATTTTGAGAGGTAATGATCTATCAAGATTACTAGCCAGGTGTCTTATAAACTATGCTGTTATTTTTTTATTTTTCAGGAACTACCCCTTTGACATAGTGACATTGTTAAACCTTGTTCTATTCAAAGCCTCTGACACCAACAGAGAGATTTATGAAATCTCCATGCAGCTCATGCAGGCATGTATCATTTACTGGCATAGAAAATTTTCATCATTGAGAGTAGAAAACAAAAATGGTAATTGATCACTGAATTGTGGTTAATTGATTTGCATTTATTTGTTTTTATATGTCATTGGTAGATATGAAAAGTGAGAAAACAATTATATAATCTTCTGTAAACATAGTAATGAACTGAAACTGTACCTTTAATACTATATTAAAATAAACATTAATTAGTTTTGTTACAACTAAGCTTTATTAAATATAAATGCTCCTGAGATACCCAGCTAATGTTTTTTCATACTGTTTCTTACTTTCCTACCTTTTTACAGATCCTTGAAGCAAAGCTTTTTGTATACTCAAAGAAAGTCGCCGAACAAAGACCTGGCAGTATCCTCTATGGAACGCACGGCCCGTTGCCACCCCTGTATAGTGTGTCACTAGCCCTCTTGTCGTCTGAACTGGCCAGGATGTATCCTGAGCTCACTCTCCCCCTCTTCTCAGGTACCACACAATAGTCAATAATGACATATGGAGTCATTTCTTCTGCTCTAAGTGATTTTTTTCTTTTTAAATTCTAGTGTAATTTTAGAGTCAAAACCATTGATGCTAAATTTATAGATCAAAACTGCTGTGGGCTAGATCCAGTTACATATGAAAATGAATTATAGAGTATCTTTAAAATGTAAAATATTTTATTTATCTAAAACAGTGTGGGGATAAACATACATATGACAAATGCAAAGATGCTTAGATTAGTAATAATACTTCTGCATACATCATATA